ATAAAGTAATCTGTAGTGTTGGCCTCTGAAGACACATGAACTGTAATTATACCTGGAAACATTGGGATCTGCACAGAGTAAGATCAAAGCCCAAAGTCCACCTGTATGTCCTTTGGTAATATTATCCTATACTTGCAATGATGTCTCTTCCTGCTCCACCCAGAGGCTACTCAACCTCTGCTGCTCTGACCCGTCCTGCACCACCCAGAGGCTACTTAACATAACATCAGCAGCTTTTTACCATCTAAAAAACATTGCCATCATCAAAACATAGTGTCTAAAGCAGACTTGGAGATTCTTATCCATGCATTTGTCTCCAGTAGGTTAGACTACTGCAATGGCCTGCTCACAGGTCTGTCCAAACAGGCTGTAAAACAGCTGCAGTACATTCAAAATGCAGCAGCTCGAGTCCTGACTAGAACCAGGAAGTACGACCACATTAGTCCAGTTCTCAGGTCTCTGCACTGGCTTCCTGTGGCTCAGAGAATAGACTTTAAAACAGCTTTGCTTGTGTACAAGTCTCTCCATGGCCCTGCACCAAAATATATTAGTGACATGTTAGTCCCATATGAACCAGCCCGGACTCTGAGGAGCACAGGGACTGGACTCCTGTTAGTGCCCAGAGTCAGAACTAAACATGGGGAGGCTGCTTTTCAGATTCATGCTGCTAAAATCTGGAACAATCTTCCTGAAGATGTGAGACAGGCCTCCTCTCTGACAATGTTTAAAACCAGGTTAAAGACAGTTCTGTTTAACTGTGCATACAACTGAGGGATTTTATATTTTTATCTTTCTTTTTAATGTTCTGTGATTATTTATGATTTTAATGCTTTGTTTTGTTCAGCACTTTGAATTGCCTTGTGTATGAATTGTGCTATATAAATAAATTTGCCTTGCCTTACTTAACCTATGCTGCTCTGACCCGTCCTGCTCCACCCAGAGGCTACTCAATATGGGCTGCTGCAACCTGTCCTGCTCCACCTAGAGGCTACTCCACCTGTGCTGCTGTGACCTAAAGGGCTGTTGCTGATTATTACTATTATTATGTTCTTAGAATGATCAATTTTGTTTTCATTTTTTTCTGCTACTGGACACCTGAATTTCTCCTTCGGGGATCAATAAAGTATCTATCTATCTATCTATCTCTGATGCACTACTGGTTAGATGCTTAACTGCATTCCGTTGCATTGTTCTGACTTTGTAATGACAATAAAACTGAATCTAATCTAATCTAATCTAAAAAGTTTATTCTGTAGCCACAGGGGTCAGCATCCCCTTTCAGGTAGCTCCCCAAAGGATTTAAAAATGTTCCTTGTAAACTACTAACTTGTAAAGTATCTGTGTTGATATGTATGATGACTGTTGATAGTACTGTAACTGTACTGTAAATTTGTATTGGACCTTAGTACCAGTATTTTGCTATTTCTCCATTTGCAGCTAATTATGAATTATATGGTACATTGCCACTGTAACTACGTTGGTAATGTGCATTTTATATTGAACGGATGTAAGTTTTATGATTGTATTGTCAAGGTCTTCAGACTACAGGTGCTAAATCTTGTGCAGCCATCTGTTTAATGTAACTGCACATTGTCCTTGATAAATTAAACTTTACACTTTAAACTTGAGTGACAGTACCCAATCTCAGGCTCACTCTCACCAATCTGTTTTCTCAGGACCAGGAGTCGCTTTCTGCCATTTCCATCTATAGAAAGAATCTCTCCAGGTGAAAATGGTTGGAGACCATGCTGAAGAATGACCGACTGTTGCCACTGTTCCTCTTTCAAGGAATATTCAGGGAAAATTGGATTTTGAGAGCTGGAAAAAGCAAAACCACTCCATTCCAGTAGGTTCATATGAGGCTCTTCTTCGGTTTTTCATGTTCATTCAGAAGAATTCTGTGTAAAATCACCATTAACCCTTTAAAGGAGCAGACATTCTATGAGCTCCCACAGACACTCGTTTCTCAACATTTATTCAGATTCAGATTCATTTATTTGCCATTTGCAGTAAAACCACATAGGAAAAACTGTGCAAGACTACCCCAGTGTGCACCAGACGACACACACCAGAGCTCTTGCCACAGCGCCATATTTACGGCGCCATGCGACAAACAGTAGAATAAACAGCAGAGAGCAATAACATACAGTTTCACAGACAATTGGATAGACACATTGTGTCATTATTATCATTATCTTATACTGATTTCTGTTATTGTTATTGTATGTTATCTCATACTGATATACTCTGCTTTTTTTCTATTTTGAAAACCCTTTTTGGACAATATAATTTGTGAGTTTTGAGTTCAGTCTACGCCTACGATTTCTCTGTGGGAAAACCTAAAATATTTGTATTATTTACATTTCCAGGAGTTTGCTGGATGTGAATTCAAATATTGTAAGTGATATGTAATCAGAGACCCATAAGTCTCAAATGGTTTTGAGAAATATTTTGTCTAAAATGAAAAGTCATGCCATAGAGGGTCAACATTTGTGAAGATCCAACTTGTCTTTCAGAAGAACCACAAAAAACACCTTTGCTGGGTATATTTTCACAATGACAAATGATAAATGGATGACAAAAAATGACTGTAATAATGTCTGTTAGAAAAGGACTGTGAAAAAATGTCTGTTGGAAAAGGACTGTAAAAATGTCTGTTAGAAAAGGACTGTAAAAAAATGTCTGTTGGAAAAGGACTGTAAAATGCTGTAAAAAAGACACAAAAATCCTGTAACAATTTTAAAAGAATAACTGAAAACACGTCTTTATTAATACTGTAATGACACAGAAATACTGTTAAAAGGGACTGTAAAAATTACTGTAAAAATGTCTTTAATAATACTGCAAAATGATTGTCGAATGTCTTCCTGTCCTGTATCTTTAAAGGGTTAATCAGAGAAGCCCAGAGCGCCGCGGCAACGACATCAGTCAGGAGTGAAGGCGAGATGAAATACGGTGAGTGAATTCAAGAATAAATCATAAAACAAAGCTGACTAAACATTTGCATAGGATGAAGCGCTCGTTCTTTTGAAGCGATTCAAACACAACGCTATAAATAAGCCTCCGTGAAACAGGTGATGAAATATTCAGACTTGTCCTCCCTCATCAAATAGTCATAAGACAAGAGCATTTCACACCCCTTTTTAGTTTTAAGTCCTCGACACGCCATCAACACACATTAACTGCCGGGACTTACGTAGTTTATCGGTATTATAAACGTAAAGCCTTATATTTTGTTTTTCAGGTCGCTCGGCTCATCGTGAAGCAGCAGTGTGTGAAATATTACCGTCGGGGCGTTTCAATCTTCACTAGCAGAGGCTAAAACGCTTGTAAAACAAAATCGCTTGTCCATTAAAAGTGTTTTAGGGAAGAAGAGACAATAGAAACTTTTAGGCAGTCCGATACCCAGCACCAAACAGATACACTACAATAAGTGAGGAAAAATAAGTCAAAAATAGCACAAATTTGGCCAAACATACCTTAATGTTGCCACTGGGACAAGCAAAAATTATCCTATTTTAAAAAGATACAAGAACGGTCTCCTTTGGAATGATAAAATAAAGCAACAGTTCTTGAAAAAAGACTAAATGGCTTTGTCCCATTGGCAAATTGTGTTTTAAGACAGGAATGTGCTCAAATTAAGATAAAAACCACTCGATTCAAGCAATTATTATCCCATATTTAAATATTTTTATTTTACGAAAACTTGGGGAAGGAGCTCATGAAGAGGATACGTTCATGTGACCAACTTTGTGATAATAACTATGATATGTGACAAAAGTCAGATTCTAGTCTTAGAGCTAATTTTTCTGTAATCCCCGGACCAATCCATATGAAACAAAATCTGTCAATGGAAAAATTTCAACTACAGTCTAGTTATCTTCTCATAAAAGTGTCTAGAAGTGGTGACAATATTCCAAAACATGATGGACATTAGAAAGGATACCTTTTCTGATTCAAATTTTCTTTCAAATATGGCCTTTTCCCATAAACTTATAAATGGAATTTAATGAGCCAGAAAGAACGAGCTCTGTCGCTGTCTACCAGAAAGACCAAACCCAATGTTCTACTTTACCAGATTTTAAATAAACATTGGATCCAGGCTTCATGCCACCAAACTGAAGCCTGGAACATCTCGCTAACAAGTCAAGAACGCTGCACAATATCATCCACTACCCATTTTCTTCCACGTTATCTGTGGCCTAGCAGTGGAGGCAGAGGTTTGAGCAAACAAACAATATCACCCTGAGGCAAGTCCCAAGACGTTCCCAGTCATACCACTTTTCCACCAAGCTGATGCTAACTCCACTCGCATCTTCAAAAATGGGAACAAGTCCTGGAGAGGGGGGAGGGGTTGGTTTGTACTGATGTAGAGCAAAAAATAGCTAGTTGATAAGCTAATGAATGCTAGCTGCTGCGAGTAAACAGTGTGTTGCTATGGTAACGGACAGCAGGTAACACTACACACGCACACATGGTCGAACGAGCCCCCTCTCTCTGAGGTCAGAGCTCTGTTCCTTCATGTCCAATCTTTGCCAAAGAAAAAATAAATAAATACTGAAGAAAAAAATGATCTACATGTCAGCAATGTTCTAATCAATAGAGGTTTGTAAAAATGTGTTTTTGCGCTAACGTGATTACAAGAAACTTGATGGCCCTTTTATCAACATTACAGTATGGTCTCATAGTGGGAAGAGAAAATTGGCCTTAAAATAACAAAAAATTGAAACACTTTTGATTATCCCTCACTAATTAACAGCTAATTAAGTGCTTTTTTGTGTACCCTAGCCCTAGCCCACATGGGAAAGTGTCAGTATGTAGTTAGTTAGATGTAGAATGTGGACTAATTTGCACTTCATTAGCTGTTAATTGGTGAGGGCTAATCTAAAGCGTGACCCAAAAAACAAAAGCATGAACAATGGTTTTGTGTTTTAAATAAAATCAGAGAAGTGTTTGATTGATTGGACGTAATGATTTGTGCACGTAAGCTCTATACTCACATGTTTGGAGAGGTCAGGGCTTTTGGAGTCCACGTCGTATCTGCAACAGGAGATCACAAACGTATTATAATCAAGTCGAACAAACGAAGACACATTTCTCTGATGAATCGCGAACAAAGCAGAGGATCTGAGACGAGGCTCTGTGTCTGTGCTAACACGGGCCTTTAAAGCCGCTTACGACATTAACATGAGAATACAGGCAGTGAAAGAGGAGGAAGAGCAGCGTGTGATGAACAAGATCAAAAACACGGGATAAGTGTTCAAGACACAAGACACGGTAGAGCAGCAGGAGAAGCAGGAGCGCAGTCACTTTGAATCTATTTGTAAATGACCACTTTCACTAATATTCATTTTATCTGAACCTTTTCTGCCCTTAAAGCTGGGGGACATAACTTTCAAACCGCAAAAAAAAATGGACTTACTGTGTGTATTTTATATATATACGACTAACTAAAGTTCCTCGCTCTCAAATCAGTTTTCTATCACCAGTTTTCACATGCATATTTTTTTCCTACAAATAAAAAAAGAGCTCCTTCATTTGACCCACAGAGGGGAAATGTCAGGGTTGCATCTCAAGTTACAGAACAGTAGGAATGAGGGGCACACAAGACAAGGTGAGTGAACAGTAACTATAGCACAACTCTATGCTATTCTTCAGCTACAGTAGCTAACTTTTTGTAGTTTCATAAATACATTTTTTTTAATATAAGTCCAAAAGTTTAAATAATGTGAACGTATCAGACCACAACACTTTGTCTTCATCTTATATCTTTTACATTCTGAAAGCTTAAAGCGGTTCTCACCCCCGCTCCTCGGAGCTTACGTCACTCACATTTCCTGTTCAAATCTTCCTCTAAATGGGCGTAGCCTGGAGGACTAAAGGGGGCGTGAACGAGACTGGGCCGTTTACATTGCTCTGGGCGGGGGGCTGCTGACGTCAGGTCTTGCTTCAGACGTCAGGTCTTGCTGCCGCGCCAGTGTTGGCGCCAGATTCAAAATTCAAATGTAGTAATACAGGTCGCCAGCAGATGGCGCCTCACAGACGGTTTTAGGCAGAAAGTTTAACTTTCAACTAATTTGCACCAAAGTGACAAAATTATGACCAGGATATGTAGACAACACTATTGGACACTCATTTAAATCGTTTATCAGCAAAAAAAAGAGGATTTGAGGGTGAGTTGTCCTTTAATGACTTTTCTCTTTTCTGTCCAAAAAAGCTGATGGCCTAGGGTAGAAATATCTATGTGAAAAATATTAATAATAATAATAATAATGCATTCCTTTTATACAGCGCTTTTTTTGGACACTCAAAAGTCACTCAAAAAGCATTATTCATTCACCCCATCCACAGTCGTGCTAAACTTCCACTGTAGCTACAGCTGCCCTGGGGCACACTGACAGAAGCGAGGCAACCACACGCACACTTCAAACCCATTCTAGACAATGTGAGTGAAGTGTCTTGCCTAAAGACACAACAACAGTTTGGCACTTTACAGCCGCAGCTGCCCCAATGTACCACTGTGTTCCCAAAGGTCTCCCATCACAGTACTAATGAGGGCCTGTCCTGCTTAGCTTCAGAAGTCTGACAGGATCTGGCTTTGACAATTAGGTGGTACCACAAACTAGTAGAACCAATCTGTTTTGAGAGCGACATGTATCTTGTTACGTCGTTTTTTATGGTTTTAAACTTCAGTTCAGCTTAAAATGAGACATTTTATTTTGCAAAAGTCTTTTTTGAGCATCTCACATGAATAACACTGTTCCTTCACCAAAAACAGACACTGACTGGTTTTTAGCTCCATTTACGGTTATATCAAGCACAAAAACCATCCACTCACTCTTCAAAATGCTGTTTTCAAACTCAGATTTTGACATTATGTGGAGAGCTGTTATAGTATTTTATGACAAAAGTATGGCCTTCACATTCGTTTTTGAAAGATTCCCAGAACATACGCTCTTTACAGCTGCAGGTCTTCATTTGGAGTATGCTATGAGATGTTCAATGATAAAAGAGATGAATGTAGAAACAGCAGAGAGTGACTGCTGTGAGATAAACAGCTCCAGCAGAGACCAGCAGCAGGAGCAGTGTGTGAGAGACTTCTGTTATTGATGCTTCGCTGTCAGTCGGTTAGGTCTCTCTTTCGTTTTTCTACCGCTATTTATATGTTTTTGATTAGAATCATTCTGTGATAGTGCCACATGGAGAAAACAAAGGAATGTATCGTGCATAAATGAAAGTCCAAGGTAAAAACAAACTCAAAATGGACAGACATAGACATTGACATACGACCAACAATAAATGGGGATGAGAACAGGGCACATGTAGACACAAACAAAACAACTGATGTACTAAATGAGAACTAAATAAAACCAAGTGCCAAAAAAGAAAAAACCCTACCGTGACAAATAGACCAGACCAAGAAGAATCTGATACTGTATCCTAAAAATTGTGTGTAATATATTCACACAATAAACCGGTTACATGTAATACTAGTCGAGCCAAACTGTCGTGAAAGCGAGGGACTAGTGACATGGATTCTTTTGGTGGTTTAAAAGTTGGTATCCCAGCTTTAGTGAAATCTAACCCAATGATCAAGATTCCTCAGATCTCTGCAACGGCTTCCTGTGACTCAGAGAATAGACTTCAAAGTAGCTCCGCTTGTGTACGAGTCTCTCCATGGCCAAGTGCATCTGTGACATGTTGGTGCCATATGAACCAACTCGAACTCTGAGGAGCACAGGGACTGACCTCCTGCTGGTGCCCAGAGTAAGGACTAAACATGAGGAGTCAGTGTTTCAGATTTATGCTGCCAAAAGCTAATGGGAAACGTTCAAATCCAACTTGAAAACAGTTCTGTGTAGCTGTGAATGCAACTGAAATATTGTATCTTTATGATTTAATGTTTTTTTCTTGTTTTGTTAAGCACTTTGAGTTGCCTCGTATGAACTGTGCTATACAAAAAACCTTTTAACAGTAAAGATGAACAATTTTAAAAACAGCATTTGGGCCGATGGGGAATGTGTTGGTGCCTAGTATTAGCGAACATGAAGCTAAAAAGGTTGAGGTCTGGTTTTGATCAGAAACTATGTGGAAACATGGTTAAAAACTGAAAAAGGCGATATTTGCATAATGTGTTACTTTCAGTTCTAAACACCACCGTTTTTCATTTTCGCTCTGAATTCCACTCCCCAGGCTTTAATTCCCAATTTATTACCCGTTTTTTAATTTCCTCCTGACTGCTCCAGTGGGAATGCAGTTTCAGTTGTGGAGGTCTGAGGTGATGAGCAGAGGGTCCCGCACACAGGCACTTGGACTAAAGGGTAAGGCCATTAAAATAGAATGAATCTGTAATGAAAGCAGATCGAGGAGAGGCGAGCCCGCATAAAAGTCCTCTAAATCACAAAGAGGTTCCATTAACAAGTTTCAGGTGTTCAAACACATATACAATTGTTTTATTGTATTATTGTATTGTGTTATTTTACCTATATGGTGCTGTGTTGAAAGTGTCTGTATCTCAGGCTACAGCCAGAGAAGATCATGAAACAAAAGACAAAAGAGGACACTATAATATTTTTTGACTTTTAAGATTTATTGGACAAGAAGTGAGATACAGAATACATAGAGAAATGGAAAATTACAATCTAGATCCAGGAGAAAATTGAGAATTGTGTTGGTTTTGGTTAGGGTTTTTATTACATTTACAGCCGATAAACAATCTCCTTAAGACTGGAACTAGATGCATTAAACACGATGCAGAGATTTATTTACTGCATGTGAGGGATATGGATTCAAACTGTAAAATGTTGGTTTCTTTAAGGCTGTGGAAAATGAATAAAATATTACAGTATTGACAAAATTTTGGAACATGGTGAAGCTGGCACCATGGAAAGCTTCAGAGGGTTTTCCAATCTGAGTCACACAATCTTCCAATTAATTGATTAGTATCAAACACAGATGTGCCATTTATTCCAAACAGACGCAGACAACGCTGAAGTGAAACCAGTGGGAAACTTTTTTTTTTTTTTGGCTGGAAATAAAATTAATTTAATGAGTAAATCTTTGCATTCAATTATTTGTTGTGCCCACCCGCTTCCAGGTTCCACACATAATGACCACAAGACCTACATAAGGTTAAAAAAAACAATTTTTTGACTACTATTATAATTTTGGAAATACATTTTGAGGAGTGGTGAATGTAACCACTTGCATGAACATTGGCTTTGCATTGTTATCCTCACTTTATCATATCAGATCAGATCAGATTCAGATTCATTTATTTGCCATTTGCAGTAAAACCACATTGGAAAAACTGTGCAAGACTACCCCGGTGTGCACCAGACAGAGGAGACGACACACACCAGAGCTCTTGCCACGGCGCCATCTTTACGGCGCCATGCGACAAACAGTAGAATAAACAGCAGAGAGCAATAACATACAGTTTCACAGACAGTTGGATAGACACATTGTGCCTTGTATAAAGCACGGATTTTTTCTCGGGATGAAGCACCTCCTACAGCCGGCCCAATGTGGCTGTCAGAGGGGGGCGGGGTCAGGGAGGGGGGTGAGTCGGAAACACAGTGAGGAGTGGAGGGGAGGGAGGGAGCAAGATGGATAGAGAGGGAGGCGGGGGAGACGGGATCCGAGCTGGAGACTGAAGTGTGAGATTGTTGTAGATGGGACCTATTTGTTATTATGGCCTTGGCCCGAGGAATGTGAGATAAGAGTGGAGAGAAGACACAGGAGGAGAAACACATCGCCTCAGGGGGACAATATTAAATGCAATGTCAGGCAGATATTCTATTAAATCCAATTAAACCGAATTGCGGCGCCCTCAGACCCCGTACACAGGGGCAGATCCAAGCCGGGTCAGAGAGTTCAAGCCTGACAAACAATGTCATTCAATCTCAACTCCAGAGTCTTATGTCCATCGAGTGAACGAGCTGCGAGGTCTTTAACCAACTGTTCCACCAAAACCACTCTCCTTTGTCCAGACACGGCACTCTCAACCACGACACGGCTTAGCTCCTTGTACATCCCAT